TTTTCTACCGTATTGTTTAATTGATAGTTTGGCTGGGTATAGAATTCTAATTTGGAAGTTATCTTTCTTCAGAATTTTGAAGGTATTGCTTCATTGTTTTCCAGATTCCAATGTCGTTCTCGAGAAATCCAAAACCACTTTGATTTTTGTTCTTTTCTGTGAGACCCTTTTCTTGCCTCTGGAAGCTACAGAATCTTCTTTTTTGTTGTTTGTTGTTTGTTTTTTGAGACAGAGTCTCACTCCATCACCCAGGCTGGAGTACAGTGGTGCAATCTTGGCTCACTGCAACCTCCGCCCCCCAAGTTCAAGTGATTCTCCTGTCTCAGCCTCATGAATAGTTGGGATTACCCAGGCGTGAGACACCACGCCCAGCCTAGAATCTTCTTTTTGTTATTGGTTTCTGATATTTCACCATGATGTGCCTTGACGTGAGTCTGCCTATATTATCCATTGTGCAGGACACTCCATGAGTCTTTTAATCTGGAAACTCATGTCATTCAGGCCTGGAGAATTTCTTGAATTACATTATTGATGATGTCGCCTCCTCTGTTTCATCTGCTCTCTCTTTCTAGGAAACATATTTTTCAGATATTGGATCTTCTGAACTGGACCGCAAATTTTCTTTACTTTTCCCTCTACTTTTTATGTCTTTTGTCTTTTTGCTTTACTTTCTGGGAACACTTCTAACTCTTCTGTGTATTTATTATTATTATTTTTATCTACAATCACTTTTTTCATTTCCAAGAATTCTTTTGTGGTTCTCTGAATCGGTTTTTGTTTGTTTTGTTTTGTTCTGTTTTTGAGACAGAGTTTCACTCTTGTTGCCCAGGCTGGAGTGCAATGGAGTGATCCCGGCTCACCACAACCTCCACCTTCTGGGTTCTAGAGATTCTCCTGCCTCAGCCTCCCAAGTAACTGGAATTACAGGCATGTGCCACCACACCGGCTAATTCTTTGTGTTTTTAGTAGAGACAGGGTTTCTCCATGTTGGTTAGGCTGGTCTCGAACTCCCAACCTCAGGTGATCTGCCCACCTCGGCCTCCCAAAGTGCTGGGAATACAGGCATGAGCCACCACGCTCGGCCTTGCTTTTGTTTTTTATAACATGCTGTTCCTGCTTCATAAAGAGAATGTTGTCTGGCACCAAATTATAGTTGCCTACATCACTCTAAGAGTTAGTAATTGTTTTGTTTTGCTTCCTTTTATTTTCTTCTCTTTGTATAGTCTCTTTCAGGTTACTTCTTTCTTTCTTTTTTTTTTTCCAGTTTGGTTACTTGGTTGGCTTTGACTCTATTATGTTAGAAGCTCTCCTCAGATATCCTGAAATCCTGATTGCTCATGTTTAAAAGTGAGATATTGGCCAGGCACAGTGGCTCATGCCTGTAATCCCAGCACTATGGGAGGCTGAGATGGGTGGATCACATGAGGTCAGGAGTTCAAGAACAGCCTGGCCAATATGGTGAAACCCCATCTCTACTAAAAATACAAAACTTAGCCAGGCATGGTGGTGCGTACCTGTAGTCCCAGCTACTTGGGAGGCTGAGGCAGGAGAATCACTTGAACCCAGGAGGCGGAGTTTGCAGTGAGCCAAGATTGTGTCATTGCACTCCAATCTGGGTGACAGAGCGAGACTCCATCTCAAAAAAATAAATAAATTGAAATTAAAATTAAAATGAGATATTAAAAAGCTAAGTTGGTGGGGCTTAATCAATTGAAAGCTTCATGGTAGGAAGCTGGTTGGCCTGTTTATGAGGGTCAAATGTCCATACGTTTGGGTCTTTCCTCCTGTGCTGGTCAGACTCCCCAGAAGAAGACTTTTTCCATCCCCAATATGGATAATAAAGCCCTTTTGTCTCATCCTCGGAGGCAGGTGGGGCCAGACAGCTGGGGATATCAGGAAGATATCAGAATGCATATCTTCCCTTTATTTACCTACTTTTACAATGTTTCCTATACCTTCAGCTATGCCTGGCATCCCTCAGCGCACATCCCTAGGTTTTAATCTCTCCAGAAAACGACACTAAAGTTGTTAAACTCACCAACCCTCTAACTTGTCAAGATCTAAAGATGGATAATATAGGCAGACTCATGTCAAGGCACATTATGGTGAAATTTCAGCAACCAATGACCAAAAAGAAGATTCTACAGCTTTAGAGGCAAGAAAAGGGTCTCACAGAAAATAACAAAAATGGGAATGGTTTTGGATTTCTCAAGAACTACACTGGAAGCTGGATGGATGAGGGACTGTTGCCCAGACAGGGGTAATGGTGGATGGGTTCTGGGATCTAACTACAGTACTTCTCAAACAGCTTTCTCCCAGCCTTTCTTGTTTTAACTCCTCTTTCACCCTCCAGTTCCAGAATACCTTGTGCTGCCATTTCCTGAGGATCTTTTTTGAGGATTTCTATGTTAATCATGTTACTTCTCAGTTTCCCCACTACTGGCTTAGGGTTCTGCCATCTCCAGGCTTCTAAGGCAGAGACCACTAGTCCAACTGCTGTCTAGCTTCCAGGGTGATTTTTGCTGTTGTCTTCTCTCTGTTCTTCTCACCTTTGTGGGCTTATGTAATTTTTTTTAAATCCCTATTTTATAGCCTTTGCAGGGTTTCAGAAGCGGTCAAAATTAGATGGAACAGTCTGTTTTAAGACTCACCTTCTTACCTTCTTCTTCTTTTTTTTTTTTTTTTTTTTTTTTTTTGAGAGAGAGTCTTACTCTGTCGCCCAGGCTGGAGTGGAATAGTGCAATCTCAGCTCTGTGCAACCTCCACCTCCCAGATTCAAGCAATTCTCCTGTCTCAGTCTCATGAGTAGCTGGGACTACAGGAGCCCACCACCACACCCGGCTAATTTTTCTATTTTTAGTAGAGATGCGGTTTCACCATATTGGCCAGGCTGGTTTCCAACTCCTGACCTCAAGTTATCCACCCACCTTGGCCTCTCAAAGTGCTGGGATTACAGGCATAAGCTACTGAATCCAGCTGAAAATTTACCTTTCAATCTGGCATTTTTCTCTAGCACTAGATTATAGTTACCTACACTGCTTTCCAGTTCAGAAATAACCTTTTAAAATTTACTCCTTCCATTCAGCCATGTTTGTAAAGACAAAACATGTCCATCCTTGGCAATGCTTTGTTCACACTCCACTTGGAGGACCAGGACAGTATGTCAGGACATCTTTACTTCAATTATATAGTTGGGTTGTCATGCAAAGGATGCTGAAGTGCCTCCCTGTTTTTCTTCTTTCTTGTTGCTGCTACTTTCTGGAACCCTCGCTAATACTTCATATTTGGGAATTAGTGACCCTCATTCCATTTTTACAAAGCTGGTGTCAACTATCCCAAGAAAGACAGCTAAGCAAACTTCAGAGAGATGAAATAGTAATGAAATAACTTGCTCGTTAGGCTTAACTTGTCAAGCAATATTTCTGATATTTTGCATTCAATACACTGCCATTCTAGTACTGTTGTGGGTGTTACTCTATGTGGGAAACAATGGTGTTATGGATGCTAGGAAAAGATGCTGGGATATACATACCTGCTTAGAATGAGGAGAAAAGACAAATCTGCTTTCACCCTCCTGGTCAGCATAAATATTTTTAAAGAGTGTTTAGATTTTTGTCAAGATTTCTTTCTCTTGATGAATTTGTCCTCTATTCAGTGGGGGAGAACCAAGAGCCTCCCTTTGTTTCTCATCCTCTCCCTTCCCTCTAGTTCTCAGTTTTCCCATCTGTCTGCACAAGGACAGAAGTGGACTAGAAGATTAAATCTCAGGTCCCCTTTAGCTCACACTACAGGCCCTCCCAGAGGTGGGGGTGTGAGCAGGGTCATGTTCCAAGTTCTGCCTCCCTTGATGGACTGTGGGCTCCCAGAGGGCAGAGCTACCTCTATTCTCATGATTAAGGACACGGAGAAAGAAGGTGTGACGCTCCTAGGAGATGATTTCCCACCCTTGTCCACAAGAAGGATTGGGGCAGCCTGGACAGGCTCAGCCTCCCCAAGAATTAAGCAGAAGTTGGGACTGGACTGTAAACTGATGCTGTCGCACGTGCTTTGGTTCCTGTCCCAAGTCTCCCAGGTTGCTCTGGGTGACTCTGGCCCAGCTTCTGGCTATCCATGAACACAAATAGTCCCAGGGAGTCATTTTGGCAGAACCCAGGTCTGCTAGCTAAGAACTCCTGAACCATCGGTAATCTCTCCCTGTGGCCTGGACTTGGTGTATGGCCTGCAGGGTGGAAGGAGAACCCACAGGGCCACTGAAGACAGGCAGGTGGCACACCTGCGGGTGGGAGGATTTGGAAAAGGAGTCCAGCGCCATTCATTTTTCATTCATTTTCCAGTCCAACGTTTGACCTGAATGCTTCACGCCCACACTGCAGACACTACTCCGTTTATAATACAACTCGAGAAGGGCATATACTATTCCATCCACAGCTCAGGGAAAGCATACATACGACTCTACTCACAATTCAACAAAGTGGTGCATCTGCCTCCAATTTTCTAGCTACCCTGGGGACCTTGGGCACGTTGTGTGTCTGGAAATACTGCAGGTGATGTGTGTGGAGTAGGCTGCAGGCTCACCGTCCTGCAAAGACTAGCTGTACCACCACCGGCTTTAAAGTCCAATAGACCTCTGGCCCAAGTCAGGTAGCAGAGGATCCAGGGCTTGGGTAGCCCACAAATAGGATTTTCCTCCAAAACGAGGCGCATAATGACCTTTGCCTCCTGGACAGAAAAGGGAAGGTAGACTGGCTTCCTCTATGGGCGACCTTCGCGACTCGGGACAAAAAGACTCGATCGTTCTCAGACTTGGGAAGGAGGACTAAGCCCGGAAAGGTGGGGACAAGTCCGCCCCAACGCCGCAATGGTGAGTAGTAGGGACCCAGCAACCCGGTGCCGGGAGCCCTGCACCCTGGGCAGCAGAGGCGGTCGCTGACGCAGGAAGAGGAGGAGGAGAGAGAGGAGGGACGCACCGGGTCAGCTCGCGCTCCTGCTGCGCAGGGCGGGGCTCGGGCCGGTCCGCCCGCGCGCAGGTGAGCGAGCCAGGGCGGAGCGCAGCTGCGCCGGGCTTGGGCGCCTGCGGCCGCCGCTCCCCACCGTCGCTTTCCCCACCGAGGCCGAGGCGACCCGAAGTCATGGCCGGTCTGAACTGCGGGGTCACTATCGCCCTGCTAGGGGTTCTGCTGCTGGGTGCGGCGCGCCTGCCGCGCGCGGCAGGTAAGTGCCGGGCTTTGGAGGCGGGTGGCGCGGAGTGGTGAGCTAGCCAGCCAGCCTACGCCGGGCGGAGATGCGGCCGAGGGACGCTGGGAGCGGAGGCTGCGGAGGGAGCGGAGGGAGGGCGGGGGCGGCATAATCAAAATGCGCCTGTGGCTCTGGGTCCCCCTGACTGTGCGGTTCCTGCGCGCGCCGCGTCGGGTGCGTGGGCCTTGCCCTCCTGGAGTCAACCTTGCCCTCGGCACGTGAGAGTATCCCCAATCCGGGAGCCTCCCGGTCCGGGAAGATGAGCCCGGTGCTGGCCGAGAAGGCGGGAAAAGGAGCGCCCTATAGCCGATCCCAGGCGACACGTCCCAGGTGGCGCGCCGTGGGTCCCGGGGTCTTTGCCGGGATTCTTGAAGACACCCAGGCAGGGTGTAGGAAGAGATCTTTCCTCTCCAGACTCGCCCTCTACCTCCTCGCCTAGTCCAGAGAGAAGGTGCAAGAAAAGTGCTTTCATGTCGGCATTTCCCACCAGATCCCCTTTTTCCCGTCCGCACGCTGCATCCCCCCTCTCCTAAAGCTGAAGAGCAAAAATGAAATTAGTGCAAAAATGAAAGCGCCCGGATTTCTTTTTGGGGTCCCAGAGAAAGCCGCCAGGCATCTGCGCCCCCGCAGAGACTGGACATTCCCGCGCCCCTCGCACTTCTTGGCAGTGGACTTTGACGACAGGAGGCTGTTGTTCCGGGGATGTGTGTGAATTTCGAGTTGTTTCGGTTGGGGGAAGGGACCGCCACGTCCCAGCAACCTGTGCCAGCCAGGAAATGCCCTGTGGGCCCTAGATGTATTAGAACATAGTAAATAACTTGGTTTCTTCTTGTAAGAACTTGATGTGAGGCTAGTACAGGTTTCGCGAGATTAGTACAGGTTTTGTGTTTTTTAAATAGAGCTCTCCAGGAAGTCGTGTGGGTTTGATTCCGCTTGCTGCATCTACGGTGGGTTTGTGTTTGGCAGGTGTAAATTAGATTAAGGAATAAAAGGACACAAGTGAGGTTGAATTTGGGCCTCCCGGTGACTACCATCATTACAAATACAAGACAGGAGCTTGTAAAATATCAATATAAGCTCCAGGAATACTTCCTGGTTCATTCTCCAACATCAGGCGACATATCGCTACATAGTAGATAGAAAATTTAAAACTTCATTTAAACCATGGCATGGATTTATATATATATATGTATATATAAATTATATATATTAAAGTAGGGACAGGGTTTCACTATGTTGCCCAGGCTGGTCTCGAACTCCTGAGCTCAAGTGATCCTCACACCTGGGCCTCCCAAAGTGCTGGGATTACAGATGTGAGCCACTGTGCCCAGCTGATGAATATTTACTGTAATTTCTTAGGACTGAATTTTCAAGATTCCCTTTGAAGAAAAAGAATTAGTTTAAGAATAAAAAGGAAGTGAAAATATGTGTAAATGTGTGCTGAGAAAAATGTGCGCCTGCCAATCTTGGAACTATATTGAAACTCTGAGAATTGTTTGAGATGTTTTTGGCTTTCTGTGATAACAGTGGGGGAACTCCTCCAGTAAGAATAGGGTGTAAATCAACGTATTGCTAATAATGAGAGCCTCCGTTTCTGGTCTCATTTCTTCCTGTGATCTGGGGTAGCTGCCATTTTGGTCGAGTAGCTCCAATGGAGTCCCTTCCAGGAAGTCCTTGACTGACTGAGCCCTGTCTCATGGTTCAATGTATAAATACGTAGAAGCCTAGGAACTTTCCCTTTCACTTTCTTAAGTTCCTCCCTATGGTCTCAGGAACTGGCCCTTTGAGGCTACATCAGGCTGAACTGAGAGCTTTTGTGGTTGGAGCAGTTGCCTATATAGTCTTGAGGATCTAACTGGCAAAGGCCTTTGAGAAATTCCTGGAGACTGTCCTGAAAGGATGCAGAAAGCCAGAGCCCCAGCACAGTGGATTTGTTTTATAAATCTGTGAAGTCTCTTAACAAAGAAAGATTCAGCAGAGTAAAAATGAATTTGGTGTCACTGCAGAGATGAAGAGTAAAGGAAAGTTTCTTTCTTGGTGTCGTGTGTTTTTGTGACTTTGGTATCCCCACCAACTCCCCCATTTCCAAGAGTGAAACACTGGTTACATTGGGACCATAGCCTTTTGAAAACCTCAATTTGGTTGCTTTCTAAGAACCACTCAGATACCAGAGTCTGGGTCAGTGACCCCAATCTTGCCACCATTGTGTCTTGCCAAAAATGTGAGCAGACAGATCAAATGATGTGTACACACTCCCTGGGCGAGTGTGGGTGTTCATTCTGTTTCCGATTCAAATGAGGAGCTACTGGCTGTTGTCTGGAATGTGTAACTGGCAGGGCTGATGAGTCTCCCCCAGCTCCTCCCCCACATCCCCACAGATTTGCATGACTTGGAGTCAGACCTGCTAGCCCTAGGGCTCACTTCAGATGCTGCCATTTCATCTGTGATGGTTGCACGCCTTGCATGTGCACACACACACTCTTCTGGGCGTTCTCCCTGACTATCAATGTGGGGGAAGGAAATTAATAATTAAGATAGTTTAAGTAGCATATAGTTATTGTAGAAAAAGTGGCAATAAATATAACCAAAATGAAAAAAAGTATCTATAGGCAAGCTGTCTTATTCACTTTGATGCAGTCTTCTTCCCGTGTATGCATGCACGCTCATGGGCGCAAACCAAACATGGGATCATCCCATTGTATGGCTTTAACCAGTCCCCAGTTGTTGGACATTTAGGTTGCTTCCAGTTTTTCTTATTAAAAATAGAACATGTCCAACAATAGTCAGCTGCTTGTATCAATTTTAATAGGTCTATTCAGGGAAAAGGCACTTGAAATTACATAGCGCAGACTAGAAAATGACATGAAAGGATGAACCATTATCCTCATGTTGCTGAGGTTATAAAACAGTATGAACTGGATTATCCCATTTTGATATATCTGAGAATGTGTTCTTTGGCTGTGTTGTTCTGCATACTCTTTTTTTAAATTTTTGAGACAGAGTTTCACTCTTGTTGCCCAAGCTGGAGTGCAATGGCGCAATTTCGGCTCACTGCAACCTCCATCTCCCAGGTTCAAGCAATTCTCCTGCCTCAGCCTCCCAGGTAGCTGGGATTACAGGTGCACACCACCACACCTGGCTAATTTTTTGTATTTTTAGTAGAAACGGAGTTTCACCATGTTAGTCAGGCTGGTCTTGAACTCCTGACCTCAGGTGATCTGCCCACCTCGGTCCCCCAAAGTGCTGGGATTACAGGCATGAGCCACCGTGCCCATGTTCTGCACATTCTTAGCTATTTTGTCCAGCTACAGTTCTGGAAGTAGAGTTGCTGGTATGAAGAGTAGAGGCTCTTAGGGCTTTGGACATGTATTTCCGTATTCTGGAAGCAGAGTTGCTGGGATGAAGAGTAGAGAGGTTCTTAGGGCTTTGGAAGCGTGTTTCCGTGTTCTGGAAGCAGAGTTGCTGGGATGAAGAGCAGAGAG